AATAAGTATGTGTTTTTGGTTTTTTGTTTTTGGGGGGACTCTGGGGGGCTTTTTGGAGAAGAAAGTCTGATCTGGGATCCGTTTCTAGAATGGAAACTGTATGTGCTAAAAACAAAGTCCCATGAATGAAAAAGACATGATATTCTCCACATACTTTGCTGCTCTCCCGGTGAGCCATCAGGTTTTCCCTGAGAGAGCTGATTTTGACACAATACACGGGAAACGTGATTGGTTTTTTTTAAGACACATCTTTTTATAAAAACCTTACATAATTCCATAAATGTAAGTCAGTTTTTCTATATATGCCCTGTAATGGACCGGTTTTATAAATTAATAGAAGTGGAATTCGGGGCTTATATTTAAGACTAAGAAATGTGATTTCTAATTCTTTATAGTTATAGTAATTGAATTAATTTATCAACTTTGGAAAGGCATTTATCTTTTTCTTTTTATATAATGGCTGAAATTACCATGATTTTTCGTCTTTCAAATACATTATTACTTTTTTAAAAAAACACTCACATGGTGCGGTCCTTACTGTGTGTTACACACTATGTTAAGGGCTTTACAAGTGCTATTTCATTTCATCGTCATGGAAAAAAAAATCAAATAGCAATCTTCTCTAAATACCATTTGAAATTCTGACACCCGAATGGTGATGTGATTAGATAACATTTAGGTCTGTTTAAATATTGAGATGTGGACAATTCTGAAATTGTAAACTCTTACCAAATTCATGCGTATTTTTCATCTTTGTACAGGTAGTGATTATTGCCCAACAGTGCCTTTTAAAAATGAAGCAGGAAGGATTTCATTTGCTTATTGCCATGCATAGTAGGTACCTGCACCAGAATCCAGTCACAGTAGCAAATAACTTGTAAATTAACCATTGTGAGGATCGTTTTCTGTGGGAATTAGAATTAAATAAAAGTTTGAGAATAGATAATTAGATCTCTTGGAACCATCATTCTGTGCGGAAGTTCTTGCTGCCCAGAAGAGACCATGTGCAGAGATTCAAAGACCCTGCCCCCACTCCCCAGCTACACCTCCCACCCTTTTTCTTACAAGCCACGCCAATCTGCCATCCGTGTGAGCTGTCATACTAGGAGAGCCTCTAACCTACAGTCAGGCATCCCCATGGGAAGCCACATGGAGCAGAGACCTGCTGTCCCCATCAAGGCCAGCCCAGATCATTAGCAAACCAAATGATTGTTATTCTACACTGCTGAGCTGTGAAGTAGTTTGTCACACGGCAATAGCTAACTGATTTAAAAGTCACAAAACACGATGGAAGGAATAAATGCAAAGGTGCCAACAATGACAACAAATGTAAGTGAATTAAACTCACTGAAAATTCAGAAACTATCAGATTTTTTTTTAATGTTTATTTATTTTTGAGAGAGAGAGAGAGTGTGTGTGAGCAGGAGAGAGACAGAGAGGGAGGGAGACACAGAATCCAAAGCAGGCTCCAGGTTCCGAGCTGTCAGCACAGAGCCCGACGCAGGGCTTGAATCCACGAGCCGCGAGATCATGACCTGAGCCTAAGTCAGATGCTCAACGGACTGAGCCACCCAGGCGGCCCACAGATTAGATTTACAAACTCTGAAACCTAGCTATATAGTTGCTTTTAAGTATATATGTTTCGGGGCGCCTGGGTGGCGCAGTCGGTTAAGCGTCCGGCTTCAGCCAGGTCACGATCTCGCGGTCCGTGAGTTCGAGCCCCGCGTCGGGCTCTGGGCTGATGGCTCGGAGCCTGTTTCCGATTCTGTGTCTCCCTCTCTCTCTGCCCCTCGCCCGTTCATGCTCTGTCTCTCTCTGTCCCAAAAATAAATAAACGTTGAAAAAAAAACATTAAAAAAAAAAATAAGTATATATGTTTCTAGTAACACAGACAGTTTGAAAATTAAAGGCTTGAAAGTTAAAGATATACCTGGCAAATGTTAAAAAAAAAAAAATGAAGATGGTACAACAATGTTAATATCAGTAAAACACATAAAATAAACAACATGGATTGAGAGAAACAGTAGATAGTGATAAAAATGTGTTGTTTTTTTAAAGATGACCATCATGGACCTAGAGTCACTCTGAATATGTGAATCGCTTGGAGGAATAGATAAATCCTTTCTTATCTGGGGAAATTTTGACATAACTGTCCAGAAGTGATGAATCTTTCAGACAATGACTATTAAATGGGATGATTATATATGTGGATGAGAAACTCAGTCATAAGCCTTCCTACATGGCAGTGTACATGTGTTGTCATTGCTCTTTAAGCAACAATCTGGCAACATCTATTCACAATACAAATTCAATATTTTCAGCAGTCCCTTTCCTGGAACCTGTCCCAGAGAGGTGGAAGGACAGATATAAGCCCCAAGGACAGACAGAAGACAGACGTAAGGGCAGGTCTACCGATACACTTACTGTATCATTGCCGGTAGAAACGAGGAGACAGGAATTGATTGGATGGCCATTAGTAAGAGAATGTTGTGATGTATTTTACATATGCAATAAACTGATAATACATTGTTCCTATTTTACTTTTGAGACCAGTTTTCTTCTAGAATGATTAAAAAATAAAACTGTCCTTATTTCCTTGTGTAGGTCTACCATCCAATCTGGTTTTAGACTCATTCTAATGCCTGAAGAAATTGTTGTACATTTCTCACAGTACAGGTGTCTCCTACATTTTCTCAGCTTATTTTAGTGTGAAAGAAATCTCTATTTCACCTTCACATTTGAAAGATATTTTTGCTAGCTATAGAATTCTTCTTTGACTCTTCTTCAGCACTGTATCCATGCCCCTCCGTTTAGATCAGCTTGTGTAGTTTCTCCAAGCCATCTCGTATAATTCCTATCCTTGTGTCTCGTACTTAATGTGTTTTTGTCTTTGGCTTTCAAAGTTTCATATGGTGTATCTGGATGTGTGTTTTGTTTTGTTTTGTTTTGTTTTGGGTGCATTTGTGGGGGGATATTCTCTGAGCTTCTTAGATCATTGTTTGATTCTTTCATTATTTTAATGCTCAGCCATTATCTCTTCAAGACTCTGTGAAGTCTGCTATTGAACACACCTAGGTGTTCTTTACTGCTGATATATATAGATATATATATAGATATATATATTATATATAGGAATATATATTATATATATATTAGCAGTAAATATATATATATTTATATATATATATATATATTAGCAGTAAATATATATATAGGAATATATATATAATATATATATATAGAGAGAGAGAGAGAGAGAGAGAGCAGGGTGGGGAGAGAAGGGGACAGAGGATCTGAAGTGGGCCCTGCACTGACAGCCAATGTGGGGCTTGAACTCATGAACTGTGAGATCATAACCTGATGAGTTATGTTGGACACTTAACGAACTGAGCCACCCAGGGACCCCTATATTTTTTAAAATTCTAGCATTTGCATTTGTCACTTTCTTACAGTTTTCAGCTCTACTAAAATTCCCCATCAATCATGATAGATTTTGTAAATTATAGTTCTTTAAAATTTCTTGTTAGATATTCCTAATATCTTTCTGTCAGTCTGATAATGCTGGTTACTTTGATTCTTGGATGTGAGTTGTTTTTATTTGGTTTTTGTTTCTTTGTCTTGCACATTTTGATTGAATGCTGGACATTATACTTTGTATACATTGTACAGGTGGAGATAAGTTGTGTGCAAATAAGCGTAGCTTTTTGTCTGCTGGACCAGATAGTAAATATTGTTCACTTTGCAGGCCATACCGTCTTTGAGGTATACTTTATCTGACACTAATAGATCAGATCATTTCTTTCAATTAATATTTGCATGGTATATCTTTTTCTCATCCTTTTGCTTTTGACCTAACTATATTTTGAAGTGAGTTCTATTTGAGATTTCTTGGGGCTAGCATATAGTTGAGTCTTGTGTTCTTATCCACTCTGCAAAGCTTTGAGTTTTAATTATTTACACCATTTGCAATTAATGTAATTACTGATAGATATTTTAGAGCTTAAGTCTGCCATTTTACTTTCTGTTTTCTGTTTGTTCCCTATTTTTCGTATGTCTGTCTTATTTTTCTGCCTTCCTGTAGATACTTGAACACTTTTTTAGAATTCCATTTTGATGTATGTATATACTGTTTTTGTGTGGATCTCTGTGTAGATTTGTTCTAAACAGTATACATACATAACTTGTCACAATCTAGTATTGTTGACATTTAACAGTTCAAGAGAGAAGTAGAAACTTTTTCTGTCTTTACATCCCTTTGCCCTCCCTGGTTTATAGTATAATTGTCTTAGATATTCGCTTATAAACATCAAGAACCACATCAGACAATGTTATAATTTTTTGCTGTAACTTTCAGACATAATTTAGAAAACTCAAGAGGAAAAGGAAAGTGTTGTATTTACCTATATTTTTGCTCTTTCCGTTGTTCTTTCTTCCAAGAGATTTGTTGATTGCTTTTGCTGTCTTGTAACTATTTCATGTTTAGATTCCCAAAGACTATTGACTGGGGAAAAAGAGACAAAACAGTAGGCTATTTATCTGTCAACAGAAAGATCAAAATGCCAGTGTAGAGAAGTGAGGTCATGTTCTGAATGAGGCACTTTTCTTGGAATTGGTAAGACCCAACCACCACCTTACACTGTGGAAGTCTAATGATTTAGGGTGATGCCATATGGGAATACCAACAAGAGGTTAGTAAGTAAGGGCTTCAGTAAGCACCACATTTCCTCCTAGATTGGTGAGTCTATGATTTATTATTTCAGTTTCTAATTGTGACTGAGTTCAAAAGATTTTTACTCAAATACTGTAGTAAGTGATCGACCTGATTCTAAAGATTCTTGACAAAAATAATCAGAAAAATAATCTAAAGATTCTTGACAAATGGTCTCTTTTGCATTATCTTTTCAATGTCGTTATAATTTTAAAGCAGTTACTCTTGGTCTGATTAATTCTGTGTTAACGAGAAGAACACTGCGTGTGTGTGTGTTTTCTTTCTTTGTCAGGCACAAGACCTAAATGTCATCGAAGAAGTGATTCGAATGATGTTAGAGATCATCAATTCCTGCCTGACAAATTCTCTTCACCACAATCCAAACTTGGTGTATGCACTGCTTTACAAGCGAGATCTCTTTGAACAGTTTCGAACTCATCCTTCATTTCAGGATATAATGCAAAATATCGATCTGGTAAGTGTAAATGGAGATCCCACGATTCTTTTTTGAGTGTTAAAAAAGTTGAACAAACTTTGATAAAAAAAAAACTACATAAGTTAGAATCCCTTCTTTGAACATAAACTAGATTTGTAGTCTGTTCTGCCATAACAATTATTGTATTCCGTATGCATTACACACTATTTAATAGAATCGAGATCATACTTTATACAGAATATATTCTGCCGTACTTACTTAGCATTTAGATCATCAACATTTTTCTGTGGTATCATCAATTATTTGAAAATCTCACGTTTTAGTATCTGTGTGACGTATAAGATAACGGATGTCCCAAAAGAATATTTAACCATTATTCCATTTGTGTTCATTTTGGGTGTTTCACATATTTTATATTATTTCATAATTAATGAACAGTTTATAAATAAATCGTATTTCCCCTGTATTCAGTTATATTTTTGGTATGGTCTTAGAACTGGAATTGTACTAGTTTTTATTTTTGGAGGATATCACTATTTTTAAAACTCAACACACGCTGCCAAACTGCTCTCCAGAAACAATGGGCAGAAACACCTGTAAATCCAGAAACACCTGTAAATCATCTTATTTCCACGAGTGATCTACGAAAGGATGTGTCTCACTACACTCTTCTTGCAGCTTTGAGTAGTACAATTATTTTAATATTTGTCTTTTTATATCAGAAGTGGTATTTCATTATCATTTTTATGTGAATTTCTCTGGTAAGTATGGCTGAACACTCTTCCCAGGTTTATAACCTTTCTGTCCTTTCTAAAAATGTTTTTGCTGTATTTTCTATTGCTGTATTAATGTTTTCCAGTTCAGTTTGGTTCCACCACTATTTCCTTTTTTTCTCACAGATTAATCTCCTACTAATTAACTTAACATACTAGGGAAAAGCTTAAAGAAAGTAGCCAGAAAATATGTTCAGTAGTTTATCAAGCAAACCAAATACCATGAGCAGGTAGCATCGACCCTGGAAAGCAACCAGCCTTTCCTATTGGTAATTTATTTATTGTAGTAGAGCAAATGATAAGAAAAAAATCATCCATATATAATAGGATCATCTTATTAAATGCTAAAGATATTGCATGAAAACAAACACTTCTGAGGAAACTGTGAATAGGATATTTCTTTTTTGATTTTTTTATTTTATAATATCAGTATAACTAAAATACAGTGTTCTGTTATTTTGAGGTATACAATATAGTGATTCAACAATTCTGTACATTACTCAGTGTTCATCATGGTAAGTGTACTCTTAATCCCTTCACACAGTTCACCCATGCCCCCACCTACCGCCACCCTGGCGATCACCTGTTCTCTCTAGTTAAGAGTCTGTTTTTTGGTTTGTCTCTTTTTTCCTTTCTTCATTTGCTTTGTTTCTTAAATTCCACATATGAGTGAAACGACACAGTTTTTGTCTTTTTGTGACTTACTTCATTAGCATGATACCCTCTGAATCCATCCATGCCATTGCAAATGGCAAGATTTCACTCTTTTTTGTGGCTGAATAATATTCCATTGTGTATATATACTCCACATCTTCTTTATCCATTCATCTGTGATGGACACTTGAGTTTCCATAATTTGACTGTTGTTAATAATGCTGCAGTGAACACAGGGGTGCATATTTCTTTTCTAATTAGTGTTTTTGTGATTCCACAACCGTTTCTTGAGTAATTAATCTGATTCACAATACCAGGCACAAGAGTAAACTGAAGAGCCAACATCCTTGTCCTTATATTACTTACATTCAGAAAAACATTCAATAATTAAATTCTTTTTGTTGTTTGTTTATTTTTGAGAGAGAGAGAGAGTGAGTGAGCATGAGCAAGGGAGGGGCAGAGAGAGAGAGAGAACAGAGGATCCAAGCGGGCTCTGTGCTCATAGCAGTGAGCCCAGTGCAGGGCTTGAACTCATGACCCGTGAGATCATGACCTGAGCTGAAGTCAGACGCTCAACGAACTGAGCCACCCAGGTGCCCCTCGATAGTTAAATTCTTACACGGTTTAAGTATGTGAGTTTGGTCACAAGTAAGCACAGGCACATACCCTTTTCTGAGATGTACGCCCAGAAGTGGAATTGCTTAGTAGGTAACATGTGTTATGCCAGAGTGCTTTCCGTGGGGGGCTACTGTTGACTCTCTGACCAGTGGTGTACGAGAGGTTCTGTTACTTCACATGCACTTAGTTTTGTCAGTTTTGTGATAGCACCTCATTATAGTCTTAATTTGCAATTTCTTGATGACCACCGAGGATGAGCATTTCTTCCCTCACCTCTTAACGGGTTTCCGCTTTTATGAGTTTCCATTCAAATCCTTTGCCAGGTTTTCTGTTGTTTATCTTTGTGCAGATACTTGATGTGTTCTGGATTCTAGGCCTTTCTTGATGATGTGTTACACGCATCCAGTCATGGACACAGCGACAGACTTTCAGCCATAACTCTAAAACTCCTCGCAAAATGGTCAAGCAGATCAGATCAAGTTTTTGTTTCCATTCTCTTCTTGGAGACCTGCTTTCTGCCCCAGTTACACGGTGCTCTGGTTCTCCTGCCCGGTTGCAACATCTTCCTGGGAATTTCCTTCCCCTGCCTCCTTCGGCTGACTTTGGCTCCTGTGTCTTCCTCTTTCTCGGCTGACCGTGTCACGTTGGCAAGAGTGTATACTGCGTAGTAGCTTTCTGGAAAAAGGGTGTACGTGAAGTATATTTCATTTTAACCTTCAATTTATAGATAAAACCAGCTTAGAGAGATTTTACCTTGCTCACAGTCACATATTCATAAAGTCATAGAGACAGGACTTAGACCAGGCAGTTTGATGACAAAGCCGATGTGTGAAATCACCATGCCCACCTACTGAACCCCTTGACTAAATGCTCCCACAGTTTCTCGTACACTGCTTAAAAACATCTAGTCCTATCCACAGAGATTTCACCATTTCCTTTCTCTCTCAGGATCACGTCTAATGATGTCTGATCGGTCTTTATTCCACCAGTGTTAGAACTGAGGATCCTTCTCAGTAACCAGGCAGATGACATCCTTAAAAAAATATCTCAGAAGGGCCATATTGGTTTTTGAAGAGACACACGAGAACCTTGCAGAGAGAACCATGCAGGAAACATCGTTTCCTTGGAAAGATGTAAAAACCAGAGTGAAGGTGAGGAAACAGAAGGGACCTCGCTGTGCTTTCACACGGTGCGTGACCACGTGGAATGAAGCAGCGTGTTAACTGGACATCCACCCAGCGCTCGCTCTCCTGAGCTTGAGGGGCAAAATGGTCGGCCCAAGGTCACTTAGCCAGTAGGTCACTCAGCCAGGCCTCGAATCCAGGTGTTCTTACCAGAGACTCTCTATGCTTGCAGCATTCACTTGAATAAACCTGACGTAAGATTTCAAACGAGCAGGTTTTCCAACAACTTTTTGTTGAATACTGCCGTCCAAAATAGTGCAGGGCACAATGGAAGATCATTCAAAAAGCATTTTAAACTCTTTTACATATTTTGGAAAGAATGCCACGATAGAGATAAAAATAACATCCCTACTTTTTGTCTCTCTCAGCACTTTGCCTTCCCCTCCGCTGCCCTAAATGCCCCTGAAATTTGGCTCAAGCAAGCCGTTGCTCTATCTTTTTTCGTGGAGTTAACCTTGAAAAGTGTGGGTAGACTATGAATTGCTGTTATTTTTAGCTGACAGGCAGTTCAGAGTTGATATTTTTCATTGAGACATTCAGCAATGTTGAATATCTAAGACAGGAGAGACTAACCTTGGAGCACTTTTAACTTCCACGGAAGGAGATCGACATGTGTTTCAAGTGGCCAAATTTCTATTAGCCACTGCCACATATCCTTCCCATCTAACCCATAAAGTGATATGATCTGGCTGAATTAAGTAGCAGGACAATCAAATTACCGCACCAAATGAGAGAAGACGTGAAAGAAATTTCATGGCTGCATATAAGTAAGGAACAGAGGCAATGAACAGTCATGTCGTATAGTGTGGTAAAGGCAAGAACTATTTTTATCTCTGGACAGTGTAAAATTCATGTTAGATTTTGTGTATTTCCAAACCTGACCATCCTTGCTGGGCTCCAGACTAGTGCATTCTGTTGTCTACCTAACAATCCCACATAGGGGCACCTGGGTGGCTCAGTCGGTTGAGCGTCTGACTTCGGCTCAGGTCATGATCGTGGTCTGTGAGTTCGAGCCCCACGTCGGGCTCTGTGCTGACAGATCAGAGCCTGGAGCCTGTTTCAGATTCTGTGTCTCCCTCTCTCTCTGACCCTCCCCCGTTCATGCTCTGTCTCTCTCTGTCCCAAAAATAAATAAACGTTGAAAAAAAATTTAAAAAAAAACAATCCCACAAATTTTGAACAAGGTTAAATCACAATTCTTTTGTTTTCTTCAAAAAATGAAACAGAATGAATCAACTCTTTCTTCTGCAGTTTTCCTGATCTCAGTAAATGACATCAATATCTACCCAATTGCTTAAGGAAAAAAAAAAAAGGGAGGAAGAATGAGTGCTGGTTGGAATAAGGGTGGGAAATTGCAAACCAAAAGAGCACAGTCAGAGAAGTCCTGTCTCTGAGAAGGTGCATCTGAGCTAGGACTTGAAGGAGGTAGAGAGTAAGCCAGGCAGATATCTGGGGTTAGAGTGTCCCAGGCAAAGAGAACATAGGGGTGGGATCAGGGTATGTCTGTGTCTCCCTCAGGAGCAAAAGGTAGGCCTGCTTACTGACCATTATAAAAGATTTGGGCTCCCTAAGCTCACGGTTCTCTTCCTATAATATAAGCTACTGCATGGGGTGGGGAGGGGGGGGGTCATCCAGCTTCTTCAAACCACCTTTGTGCAAACTGGGGCTTGCAGAACCTGTGAAAAAAGGCCAGTGCTCTGGTTGCTGCTGTTGCTTGACTAATAACTGCCCTTCATCACTGACCCAGAAATCTCCATATCCTTCCAAGATCCGCAAAATGGTAACTTGCAGGTGGGGCCAAATTCTTCAG